AAAATCCAGGCCAACATTCTTGGGTGTGAGAGCGTCAGTATTGAGCAAGCCACCAAGGCTGGCGCACGCAGCACGAGCTCACAGCACCGCTGTTCAGCTTGTGACCACAGCATCGCAGCACAAATACCATAATATATATGATACTGCTATTATTTAGCAGTGAGAGTATTACTGAAGCCCCCTGACTGTGATAAAACTGACCTGGATTCTGATAATAGCAGGATTGTGGTGATAATTAGCGCTGTGCTCCATGGAGGGAGGCGTAAGGCTGTGCGAGGGAGGGTTGTGGCGTCGTCTTCTGACTGTGTGTGGCCACCTTTTATTGACTGCACTCACCATACCAGCTTAGTGGTTCGATATGGTGAACACAAATGTAGATACTTATATATAACGTGTGTATATAGGGTATAAACAGCAAGAGGAGTAGGTTGGGAGCCGCCATTTTGGTGAGGGCGGTGGCGTCGTCTGCACGACTTATCATGTTGTTTACTGGTGACCACAATAGTCTTTGGGCACCATACCAGCTTATTTGTTCAGGTATGGTGAATAAAACAGGTAGATACTTATATATAATATGTGTATATAGCATAATAACACCACAAACAATATTGTTGAAGGACAAATATTAGTGCGTCTGGCCTTGAGGGCGGCCGCCGATCAGCTGACTGTGTGAGTAGCTACGTCTTTGTGGCCTTTACTCACCATACAAGCTTAGATGTACAGTTATGGTGAACAAAACATGTAAATACGTATATATAATGTCTGTGTATAGTGAATAAATACAGAAAGAGTATTGTAGGAGGTGAATGAGGGTGAGTGAGTGGTTCGCTGGTGTTTGGCGGTCACTCCTCGTTGCTTTTTGACTCACAGGACCAACTTAGTAGTTCGTTATGGTGTACAAAACATGCAAATACTTATATATAACCTGTGTATATAGTGTAACAACAGCAAAACTATTTGTTTATTGTTTTATGAACATAATAATTGAATCACTAATATGCACACCATAATTTTGAGTACAGCGATGGTTCACACATTTTATAATATAAATATACCACAATTCACTGTTTGGAATAATATTACTGCAAAAAAACTAAGAAAAAATCAATCAGAGACATTGAAATAATTAGGTAATAATATATTTGTGGCAACTGCCATCTGACAGCTCGGGCGGAGTAGACCTCATCTGGCGAAGGCTCTGCCAACGCCCCTTTTTTGCCACACTTCCCTACCCTATTGTGGCTAAAATATGCCACCTACGATTTTTTTGTTATTTTTTCCGTGATCAGGGAACAAAAATGAACACTTCTATAAGACGAAAGAATTTTTTGGAATTTTTTTTTTTTTTTGCGCCTGTGGGTGTGAATTCCATTTGGGCCCCTAGCGGTTTGAGGGTTAAACCCCGAGCATGTTAAGGGTTAAAAGTATCAACACAAGACAGAACACGAAACAATGGGTATAAATTGGATAAATTTAGATTTAGGAAAGACTTGGGTAAATACTGGTTCAGTAACAGGGTTGTTGATTTGTGGAACCAATTGCCGCGTAACGTGGTGGAGGTGGGGTCCCTCGATTGTTTCAAGCGTGAGTTGGAAATGTATATGAGTGGGATTGGGTGGTTATAAATAGGAGCTGCCTCGTATGGGCCAATAGGCCTTCTGCAGTTGCCTTTGTTCTTATGTTCTAACATATGTGTACACACGAGTCATGCACGTAACACAGTGTCCTTAGACAGTACGGATGTTTTACTGCCATAATATGGTGTACGTGTTCATTATACATAGGATTAGCGCATAAAAACAAATAAAATGTATTTGGAACTGTGCGCAAAAAATGAACAAAAATATATTCATTTACGTCCTCTAATTACGCAACACATAGCTGCTATTAGGACAATATCCAACTCTGGCCCCAGACATCACTCGGTACCCCTACTCAAATCTCTGAATATGTTAGATATTAAGTCACTGCACAATCTCTCATGTGTATTATACATATATAAAATGCTGAACTGTAATGCCAATCCTGACCTCAAAAGCTTCATTGAAGGTTGTAACAGATCCCATGAGCACCACACCAGAAACAAATACAGTTTTGATTTTCCAAGAGTATGACTTAATCAAGCTAGAAATGCTCTACAAATCAAGGGACCCAGAATGTGGAATGACCTTCCCAATCATGTTAAAGACTGTACCGCTCTCAACCAGTTTAAGATAAAAACGAAGCACTACCTAATAAATTCTCTGTAACCTACCTTACCCCTATATTGTCAACCCATGTCTGTTTTTTTAAACAACGCTGTTTGTCGACCTAATTGTATTTGTGCTGCTTTTTCAGCCACGTTCCCCCCTTTTTTATTTTTATTTTTATTTGTTCTCAAAACATTTTATACTTTAAACTCAATTAGCATTAAGTTTTAGTCTTTAATGTTTTTCCTGCCCGAAACGCTTTGCGTAATAGTGGCTTTAGGCATTATATGTACTAGCTTTATCTATAAATCTATCAATTTTTGTAAAATCTCTTGTATGTATGTACCTTACCTGAATAAACATTTATTTATTTATATTCGCGGCAACTCACGAGCCCCACCGGCCCCGGGAGCTTACGGCACGGGCACGCGGGGAATGATGATGTCACGTGCCACCCTAAGGACCCCATAGCAGCCAAAGTAAGTATAATTTCGAAATTCTGTTGCTATACCCATACACAGGGAGGGTTTTTTGACACTTTCAGAACTAAAAAGAATTTTTTCCGGAGAATTTATTTCGTGCACACTGGGGGGGGGGGGTGTCATATTAATAGGCCGCACAGTTAAAGGGTTAAGACGCTCAAACGTGCTGCCAAAAGTACACTTGGAACACCGTAGTGAACTCGCACCACTCAAGCATGCGGGAACGATAGAACGTATGCCACGCCCCCAATGAAAAGAAAGGGGAGTCTGCAAGCCAGGAAGACACCGGCACCTCATAATGTGTCCAATACGGTGAAGAAGACCTAAACTCAAGAGAGATCGGGTCGAGCACCGAGACAGAATCCGAGTCGAGGAGGAGGTATTCACCTAAGCCTCCCGAACTTCTGCAGAAGTAATTTGAGAGGTCAAAAATCTCCATTAGGACGCAGCCGTGGAACCCAAGGGAACCCGGAAACGAACCCGGGGGGGAGAGGAGCCAACCCCATATCAAATTTGTACAAGGAAGGGGGTACGAAAGCCCTGAACCTTGTAACAGCAGACCCCGCCTCGAAGGCACTAAACCCAGGTAAGATCAAAAAGGGCCCAAGCCTCCCAGGCCTTTCCCCCCCCCCCCTCCCCCAGCCCCGGAATCCACTAAACTAGGATTCATGGCAGAGCCATCCTTGTCATGGCCCCTTCAGTTCTGGTTTGTGAATAACTTTCCAGGTCTCATTTTCCTGTTGGCGTTGGCCTCTGGGGGTACCTTGAGGTTACCTTGAGGTGCTTCCGGGGCTTAGCGTCCCCGCGGCCCAGTCGTCGACCAGGCCTCCTGGTTGCCGGACTGATCAACCAGGCTGTTGGACGCTGCTGCTCGCAGCCTGACGTATGAGTCACAGCCTGGTTGATCAGGAATCCTTTGGGTAGGGTCGGGGAACTTCCGGCTCTCCTCCAGCGCATGAGTTTTTTCTGCTCGTTTGGTCCTGGTGGTAGGTTTGTTCATTTGCAGCAGTCTCCTTCTTTTCTGGTGATTTTTGGGTCTGCTGTTTTCCCGGAGGGGTCCTTGGGTTGTTGATGCTTGGTTGGTCGGGCCGGGGATGTATTATGTACAGTATTGTGTTTGGTTTTGGGTTAGCCGAAGAACTGGAGGTTGGATCACCGGTGTGGAGGTCTGGGTCTCCCCCCTACCCCCTCCCAGCGAAGGGGGGTTGCGCAGACGGTGGCGCTGCAACGTGATGACATCATGCTAGTTGCTAGTTTTCATTTATGGAGTTCTGTCCACTCCTTCGGCTTTCAGTAGCAATGTTTTCACCAGAATAGGGGTTTGTTTTTGGGGCGCCTACCTTTCTGGGTGCCAGACCCAGTCGATGGCAGACATAGAATGCTTCCAACCACACGGGGGGTTTCTATAGGCCATTGCTCCTCGTGACTCTCTGAGGGGGGCCAGGTTCTGGCTCATGGTCCCCGGTAGGCAAGAACTCCATGCACTTCGATGCCAGAAAGCTAATAGTAACATATCAACCTGGATAGCTCCAGGGAGCCAACAGGGCTCCCCCCAGAAAGGGAAGATGAAGTTTCTTTTAAAATGCAGTACTGGAATATTTTTTGAATTATAGTGTGTGTGGAAATTCTAATTAAATTGGTTGTGGTACAAAAATTGCCAATGTGTTCACTTTTGGACTTCCCCAGTGAGAATTCTGCTTATCCGAATGTCTGTTTTATCCAGTGGGAGGTCCTTCCCATGTAGTTTGGATAAGCAAGCTTAGTAAGTAATTGTAGTTATGGCAGCCACAATCACTCCACACACAGAGCTTGAGATATGGGAATGGTTGATACCCATGATAACTGTAGTTATGGCAGCCACAATCACTTCATACACAGCTTGAGATAAGGGAATGGTTGATACCCATGATAACTATAGTTATGGCAGCCACAATCACTCCACACACAGCTTGAGATAAGGGAATGGTTGATACCCATGATAACTATAGTTATGGCAGCCACAATCACTCTACACACAGCTTGAGATAAGGGAATGGTTGATACCCATGATAACTGTAGTTATGGCAGCCACAATCACTCCATAAAGAATTTGAAACAAAAAAATGGCTAGTACATGAAATAACTATCTTTGATTTCTAGCAAATATGGAGAATAAACTTCTGATTAAACTAGAATCCAGATAACTCGTAATAACAGCAAATCACTGAAAACAAAAAATAAGGTCGGGATTTAGCAGGCATATATTTGTTGTGGCCTTTATATCAATTGCTGTTAACCTTATTCCAGAGTCTACGTTATTTCAAGTGCAGAAACGAGAAGAAGAACATACCCTCATGAGACTGAAGACATGACGCACAGCTTGTGGCAATAATCCAAACTCCTCTTCATTCATGGCCCATAAGAAATCTGGCCCAGTGATGGTGTAGGTCTTGCCAGAGCCACGCTGGCCATAACTAAGGACAGTCACATTATACCCTGAGAGACATTCAGAATTTAAAAGTAACAGAGCAAGAAGTCAAAATATTACAAATAAATTATGGTGTTAGCAGGGAGAAAGGGAATAGGCTCAGTGGAATAAGGGGTGGAGGTTTGAAGGAAAGAAAATACTATAATATAATTAAATATTTCAACCTGCACATAACAGTGGGTTGGATTATTTGTTTTTAGCCTCAGTACAGTGAGACACTGCATATTATTATAACGTGGTTTTTGAACACTAATAAGTTTACTATGCTGTATAGTAATACTGGTAATACCTCAGCCTCAGTACAGTGAGACAATGCATATTATTATAACATGGTTTTTGAATACTGATAAGTTAATATCCTATTACAAGTACACAACAAGCAAGAACTCACCCTGAAAAAAGTTCACTACCAAGTCTGCCAAAGATGCAGAGTAGAGCTCCTTCTGACTAACATCTGGGCCAAAAACTGCATCAAAATCACAGAAGTGGTCATACCCCAATATGACCTGAGAGGACGCCGGAGCGACCTCAACACAGCTGCCTCGGTTGTGCTCTTGCACTGTGTGAGGTCTCACCTGGAAACAAAATTAAAGTCAATTTTACAAACATGATCTGACCAAACTTAATAGCCATATAAATGTACAGAATTTGCACTGTAAAATCAAACACCGAATGCAATGAAACTTTACAAAGAAATCACATAAATGTTATGTATCAATGAGAAGTGCATTTGAAGTGTTGGAGGTGAACTCCTAGACCACACCCAGAGTGCATGTGGGCAATGCACGAAAACCCTGACTTGGCTCAGTTGAAGTCTCAGGATCCTTAGAGGACTCGGTTGATTTCCAGGTTGCATTGCTTTTACCATGTCGTGGTGTAGTGATCTAAGGCATATGCATAGGAGTACCCAGAGCATAGGTTTGAATCCTTCTCATGGCTCCTACTGATTTTTCCAATAAAAAACTTCCTTTCCTGGTGGGACTGTCAGTACTGGCAAGCTAAGTTCCCAAGTGCCCAAGCTAAGTGCCGACCCTGCCAAGCCATAGGAAGATGCGCCAGGCCTCCAAGACCCACCCTTCCTTACCGGGATCTAGCAAAACAGTGTGGTTCTCTCTACAAGGTGAAGGGAGCTTGGGGATCAAAGATCAACTCATACCCAAGACAAATTCCACCAGAAAGCATAAGTGTGAAAAACCAGCCACTGCTTGAGGAAGAATAGAGAGAGTACCTTCAGGTAGTAAGACAAACAATCTGGAAATCATACCTGGAGAAGGTTTCGGGAGTTCTTCTTCTACCCGAGCCTAGCCTGAGGTCAGGCTCGATCATTGCCACAATATAAATTTCCACACCAGGAGGCACCTGACTGCTCCTAGGTGGCATCCAAGGTGACCCATGGTTCCAGTCAGCCTGCCTCTCACTTGCGAGCCGCCCAAAACCGAATCCCCTTTATTCATGGGGAAGAAGGGAGCTACCAAGGCCCCACCTTGCTATTTGTGTATTATTAGCAAGGCCCTCTCAAGGAACATATAGTCTCTACACATAACCAGATCATCACCATAGATATCCTGACAAACACCAAAAAACCAGCGTTGAATGTAATGAAACGCCATTTTCTGGGTGAGCCCCGGAGGAATCCTAGAGCTATCGGGCTAATATGTGAATCATTAGACCGGGGCATTAGTCTATGGAATTCAGCTTACCAGGGACCACGAGCCAGAACCTGGACCCCTCAGAAGCGCAGGGAGTGATGGCCCTGGAATACTCCCTTGTGGTTGGGGTTTTTCCTTATCTGACATCGACAGGGGTTAAGCACCCAGAAAGGTAGGCATAACAAAACAGACCCCACATGGTAAGAAAATTGCAACCGAAATGCGAACAGAGAGACAGAATGACCTTCAATCCCAAGGAAACAAGCAAAGTCACACTTCATCGCCACATCACTCGTCCGCACAGCCCTGGACCCCCTGCGCCGGCGACCCAGTCACTCCAGTTCGGAGCGTAAGTATCAACCACGTGAAAACTGCCGACTGGAGGGAGGGAGGGTTGCCAGGGAGCCTCCGGGGCTCATCCAGAAAACGGTGTTTCATTACATTCAACTCTGGTTTTCTGTGGGGAGCCCCTTTGGCTCCCTGGAGCTACATAACCAAAGATAAGGAAAAGAGGGACTTACCCGGGAGGCAGCCGCCACACTCTTTAATGTGAAATTGAGACAACGGACTGCAACCTGCGACCCAAAGCAACACAAGAATACCCAGGCCCAGGAAAATTAACCATATTTCGGGTGGCCAGGACCCAGTTCGACCTCCAAAATCCCCGTGCCCAAATATCAACTCAAGACATGTTGCCAAACACGGCAGCCAATGCAGCAAACTTCCTAATGTCATGGGCACGAGGATAGACCACAGGCTGGCTAGTCTTAATAACCCTGTGGACAACCTGGGAGACCCAAGCCCTGGAACAGGGCACGAGGTTTTTGGACACCAAGCAAGCAGTGCCTGAAACCAAGGTTCAGCCGGCCACCAAGGGGCCATGAGGACTACTCTCCCGTGTTAAGACTCAAATTGAACCAGAACCTGAAGCAACAGCTGGACTGGGTGGAAGAGGTACAGAGAACCCCACCTCGACCATTCCTATCAAAAGGTAGCCCACGGTGAAAGCCCTGCAGTCGAAGACAAGCGCCAGATATCGGGAGACGCCAAGACCATGCCGACACGAAGAGGTCCACTTCCGGGAGGCCGTACGTCCAACAGAGCCAACTGAAGAAGTCAGCGTCAACCATCTATTCCATGGGCAGGGAAATGAACCAAGACAAGCGCTGGACACTCCTTGGATATGAACCTCATAGAAAGCTAAACCCCAAAAAGTCAGCAGACGAATCACTCGAAGCGACCAGCCCCAAAGATGCTAGGACCGAAGAGAACCCCTGCAGTTCAGGCAATGAACCACCGGAGAACAGTCCGAATTGAGCCGGAGGGTCAAACCCAGAGCGACCCGAATCCTCCGAAATGACAGCCAAACCGCCGTGAACTCCCACACTGTGCTGTGAGCCCGACAGAAGGTCGGACCTCACTGACCCTGGCCGGCCTGGTGAGCACTGGTCACAAAGCCCCAGCCGAGAGACAATGTGTCCATGAACACATCGAGTGAGGGCTCGGGTAGGCACCAAGGCACTGAACCTCAATAAACCCAAAGAAGAAACTTGTGACACAGCAACCGGTGCAAGGCCTTTGAAGGCCAAACCCAGCGAAAGCAAGAGAGGCAGAAGGGACATCCCCGAAGGAACCAGAACAGACACCGAAGCCAAACCCGACCCAATGGGTAGACCAGCACTGTGAAGTTCAGATACCCACACAACTGCTCGACCAACCGCTGAGTGACCCGGGAACCCACCCCCAGAAACTGCTGAAGGCAGGACCACAGCTACAGCAACACCTCCAGATGGAGAGACATGGAAGCAGTCCGCATGTCCCAAACAGGTCTGAACCTGGGACTGAACCAGATGGGACTTCTGCCAGAACCCGAACCTGGCAAGCTGGGAAAGAACCAGATCCCTGGCGATCGGACAAGCAGACTGACTGGGAGCCCACACCAGCCAGTCGTCAAGGTAGGTCAGAACCCGAACCCCTAGCAGACACAGACGGGTCACCACACTCTGGGTAAGACGCGTGAAAACATTAGGTGACAGATTCAAGCCAAAAGGAAAGCAACGAAAGCGGTAAGCTAGATGCCCCACCCATGAAAGCCAACCAGTCTCTGAACCCCGGATGAATAGGAACGTGCTAATATGTGTCCTTGAGGTCCAGGGACATCATCCATGCACCAACTCCAAAAGAAGCCGGACCTGAGACAGAGTAGTCATCCAAAAGGAGGAGTTCAAGGAATCCAGGGGTTCAGACGGGACAAGTCCAGAGTGAATCACAGATCCGCACAGTCCCATTTCAGCACTGGAAACAGGCAGGAAACTCACCTGAGGGACAGGGTCATTTCAACCACGCCCAAGCGCACCCACTCCAAGATGACCTGACGGAGCGCAGGGGAAGAAGCCTGACCCGCCAGCCCCAAACACCATGAAGGAGGAGCTTCCCAACGCCACCACAGGCCGGATGACACGACCCGAAACGCCTACGAATCATGGGACCAAGCGTGAGCAAACACGCATTTTCTCTCTCTCTGGATCGCCACACTGAGGCGCTGAAACAGAAACAGGCAGCTCTTGCGTCTCCTGTGGTGTCAACAAGCATGGGACCCAATTCTTTAAGAAAGCTCAAAGTGCTCCTACCCTAGGAGCCAAGCATCTCAGATGCTATGGAAACAAAGGTGCCCTACCTTTCCACTTGCCTGTACTTGTTTGATTTTACTGTTTCCCTGTGGTTGGCTGCACCACCCACCTGGTCAGCACCGAGGTGTATTTAGGTGTCAGCCAGGGTGGGTACACATGTGTAATCCCAGCTGTCTACCCCTCTTCCAGGGGTATGTTGTGAATATCGTGATACCATATTATATAATAAATAAATATTAATACTGTCTATGTGTATCTGCGGCTATGTGTCAGCAGACCAATATGACAGCCATGGTCTCATCTGTCGTAAGTCACAGGGAAAGATTGCCAGACATGAAGCAGTCAATGACATCATCAAGAGAAGTTTGGCTACAGCTGGGTGTCCAGCACAAAGGAAACCTCAGTTGTGTAGACCTGACAACAGTCACAAATGCCCAGATGATACCTGGTTGATACCTGGTTGATGGGGTTCTGGGAGTTCTTCTACTCCCCAAGCCCGGCCCGAGGCCAGGCTTGACTTGTGAGAGTTTGGTCCACTAGGCTGTTACTTGGAGCGGCCCGCAGGCCCACATACCCACCACAGCCCGGTTGGTCCGGCACTCCTTGGAGGAATAAATCTAGTTTCCTCTTGAAGATGTCCACGGTTGTTCCGGCAATATTTCTTATGCTAGCTGGGAGGGTGTTGAACAACTGTGGACCTCTGATGTTTATACAGTGTTCTCTGATTGTGCCTATGGCACCCCTGCTCTTCACTGGTTCTATTCTGCATTTTCTTCCATATCATTCACTCCAGTATGTTGTTATTTTACTGTGTAGATTTGGTACTTGGCCCTCCAGTATCTTCCAGGTGTATATTATTTGATATCTCTCTCGTCTTCTTTCTAGTGAGTACATTTGGAGGGCTTTGAGACGATCCCAATAATTTAGGTGCTTTATCGCGTCTATGCGTGCCGTATATGTTCTCTGTATTCCCTCTATTTCAGCAATCTCTCCTGCTCTGAAGGGGGAAGTGAGTACTGAGCAGTACTCAAGACGGGACAACACAAGTGACTTGAAGAGTCACCACAGGCTGAATATAGATGGAGTCACCCTGCAGTCATGGAGGGATGGTAAACAGGTTGTGTGGGACTACATGTGTGCATCAACATTGGCTGATACCTATCTACCTCACAGTACAGCTGAGGGAGGTGGGCCAGCCACCTTCAGGGAAACCCAAAAAACTAATAAGTACAGGGACCTAGAACGTTGTTATAGGTTCATGCCAATAGGCTCCGAGACCTGGGCGTCTGGGGTAAA